TTATTATGATAAAAAAAATGTAAAAATAAAATAAAAAAAATTTACTCTAATAATGTATCAATTTTAATTAGTATTATATTTTTAAATTCAAATTAAATAATTATAAAGATACAATAATATTTAGAAATTATTTATTAATCACATCAATTCAAGAATTTTTTTAAAGACCCAACCATAAAATTATTGATTTTAATTGAATTTAATAAAATTTATTTTATTTTATTTTTAAAATTAAAAAATTAAATTCTAAACATAAATTAATTCGGTGAATTTTAAGGATTTTTTTATTACATATATATATATATATATATATAAGTTCAATTATATATAACTTATATAGATATAAATATAAATTTTTGAATATATAAATATATAAATCTACACATTAATTTATAAAATTTATATTTTAAAATAAATTATTTTTAGTTCAAATGTATTTTATTTTTTTTAAATAAAATAAAATAATTTTATGTAAAATAATTTTTATAATTAGATAAAATTTTAATAAAATATTTAAAAATTTAAAAATTAAAGAATTTATAACTATATAGCTAAAAGAAAGTCATAAATTAAGGCTTAAATATTAATAAAGTACTGATGTAATTGAAGATAGTTACGATCTTGCATCTACAGACATTTAGGTCTTTGTCTCTTTTTTGCTTCTTATTTGATTCTTGAGACCAATGTCTAATGTGTTTTTTTAATTTTTAATTTTCCTTCTTATCTATAATAATTAATCGGTAGAAGATGCATTGGCAAAACCAATGGTCTTTTACTAATACATAAAATTGATATTATTTTTGGATAATAATAATTATATTTCTAGCTATAGGATAATTATCAAAATTTAATATTAATTTTATTATCTGAAAAATACTAGAAATTATTTACTATTTATTTTATTTTTCTAGTAAGTATTAGTATATTTTTCTAAATATTTCTTAAATATTCTTTTAATAACTTTTTGAAGCTAGTATGAAGAATTAGAATAATATTTGAAGACATGACAATGTTTCTAACCTAGTTAGTTGTATTCAATTACTATTGTCTGATCAAAAAGAAAGTTTTAAAAGTAAATTTTATTATACAAAAATAACATGATAACAATAAATAGAGATATGGGTGCATTGGTCTCATGTAGGTTTGGGCCCCTTAGAAGATGGTAGGAAGATAAGGCCAAGGCCATGAGGCCTTATTTTTTAAAATAAAAACACAATTATTATTCTTATTTATAATATAAAATCTAGTAGTTTTTATTTGTGATATATTTTTATATTTTTATTTTTTTTCTATGTTTTCTTCTTATTGCTTGTTTATTTATAATTTATAATCTTACCATATGTCCAAAGAAAATCTTAAATAATACCATATTACTAATTTTAATTAATAAGTGATTTTCCTTTATAGACCAAAAGCAAGAAATGTTTATTTTTGGAATGAGAGAATGTTAGAATTTTTACTATTAAATATAAAGAAAGTACATGGGCTTTAATATATTACTTCAATAAAATAAAGATATTAGAAAGACTAAAAATGGCCTTAATCTTGCATCCATATACTATAATGGATAGCCATATTCACTAATATAGTTACTTAAATAAGTAGAATTATGTAGAAGTTAGTGGAAGTAGGTTAAATTGTTGATATCTTTTTGAAAAGCTTTCTAAAAGCTCTATAGACTTTACACATTTTTATAAGTAATTGGTAGACTGACAACTTGGCCCTCAAGTTGGCCACATATTACACACTTAGCCACTTGTATTATAACTTAGACATGTAGCGATTGTGTTGAAAACTCACCATCTAAATTCAAAATGTATTATGTAAGTTAGATGTATGTCATATCGCCTACATAACATTGTCACATAGATTTTTAGTAGATAGTATATATAGGGATAAAATTGATGTCTTCTTCACTCTTGTCAATGTCTTTTTTATGTATTATTTTGATCCAAGAATTTCCAGTCTTTTTGCATTTGACAATAGTCATTTTAGTTTTAATACTATATCTATTTTTTAATTGTTTACTTTCTCTCTTTTGGTGATATAAGAGTGTAGTGTCATTTTAAGACTTCTTTTGGATGTTTATGTCCTTGAAATATAATCTAACTAATAAAAATTTCATAAAGAAATTTCTTTCAAACCATAAGGCTTGAGATGAAATATCTAAGTAGCAAATCTTCAAAAATACTTTTAATAGACACATAGTACATTAAAATACATATAAAAAAACTATTCAATATTTAAAATTTAATAATTTTTAAAAATATAATATCTAGCTAATCTATTCTTTTACATGTCTAAATAATTTTTATTTATGTATTTAGTATATGCCATTGTAACATCTAAAGTTTATATTTGCAATTTAATTAACAATAATAGATTTTATAGATATCTTCAATATGAAAATTTTTCATTTCTAAATAGTAAAATTATATAAAGCCAATTGTTATCTTTTAGAGATTTATCTAAAAAAATCATTCTAATTAAATTAGTTATATGTAATTATGATAAAATAAAAAAAATTAAGTATGATGAAAAGTTATTTAAAATAATAATATTTTAAGAATTTTAATTAACACCTATCAAAATAATAAGATTTTTTAAATAATTCTAAATATGTCAAATTATTTTTTATTTTATTAAGATGTAAAGAAGTATGTGTTTTTATTTATATTATTTTTTATGCTATATATATATATATATATATACATCATTTTTGATAGTTTTATTTTAAAAAATTACAAATGTTTTATTTTTAATATTGTGCAATTGTTTTTTAAAACATTATATCATTTTTTGACCAATTTTCAACTTATAGCAAAATAAATTGGTCACCTTTAGTGAATATATTAAAGGTATAATATATTTTGTTTAATACTTAAAACTCCTCGCTATATATAATAATAATGTTATTGTAAGAAAAAAAATATAAATTTTTTGAAAAAATTGTAGAATATTATATGCTCAAAAAACAATTCATCATTGAATAATGCTATGTTTTATCTTTAGTATCTATGCTTTTCCTTGATTTGATTAAATAAAGATTTTTATTGAAATTAATTTATAAAAGGCATTCAATTTAATATGTATCAAGTAGAAGATGAATAGGAGATTGTATATTGGACTAGGTATGTTTATTTTGAATACATTGTCATGTCTTTTAGGTTTATAATTTTTTTGGTTGTTTTTTGAATTTTAGAAAAAAATTATTATATTGTGAAATTTTATAAGAATTTTTAAAATTATTTTAAAGAAAATATCCTTAAAATAGAAAAAATAAATAATACTCAAATGTAAAGAATAATATAGAGAAAAATAAAAATAAACACAATTTAAGGATATCATTAAGACTGTGTTTTTAATAATATTAAAAATGTAAAAATATCCTTAGAATACATTAAACAGTGCACATTAAATTATTTGCAAAGTGATACACGAAATGAATTATTTTTATTTGAATTTGATGACAATCACTGAATTTTTATTGTCTTTTTTTTTTTTTTTTTTTTTTTTTAATGTTTTTCTGTATTCACACAATTGTTTTGTAAGTGAATTTATAAATTAGTGTAAAGGTGCAAAAATATCATTTTCAGTTTTAAAAGCACATATATTACACCTCCTGTTTAATCTATTTAATATTTTTAATTACATGTTTAATTTAAAGATAGTCGTGTTAATTTTAAAATTATTAGCAATTCGATTATAAAAAGATCAAATGACCAGCTTTTCTGATTATTTTTCATAAAAAATGTTTTAGCTATGAAGACTAATTATAAGATTTTTAGTAAATAATTCTTACAATGCTGGATTCCTTTTAGAAACAATGTTATTAAGAACTAGTTTATATTCTCTTAACAAATTACAGTCATAGTCGGTGGAAAAAAAAGAAAAAAGAAATCTCGAATTATCATTATATTTAATTAAATTAATTTTGAGTCACAGTTTGTATTTGATACTATGCATTCTCCAAGTAACTGTAAAACAAGTGCTGAATGCTTTGTCTAGTATATCTTAATTTGCAACAAAAAAGTGAAATAAACTTTAACAATATGGATAAATTATATTTTTGGAAATATAGCACTTTAGTATTTAGGTTTTGAAATAAAACGTACTTTTTGATTATAAATATTTTGTAAGTTTTATGCAAATATATTACCAAACTTTGGATTAATCCATCTATACATTATTATGTATATTCTACACAAGATATGTAACCATCTATACATTGATTCTATTGTGTACAACATCATTGTACAAACCACAATTGTATCCAGCATACTATCATAAATCATGAGATATATATATATATATATATATATATATGCTTAATTAATTTTAGGTATGTTAAGAAATGAATGAAAATGTGCATCAATTTTATAGATGAGACTAAAGGTTCTCATTAAAGTATTTCAGATTACATCTAAACTTCAAATTTTAATTAACATTGAAAATAAAACAAGTTAGAAAAATTTACCAAAATATAATACATTAATAGTGTAGTTTATTTAGATTTTACAATTGAAGACAATGTTTTATTCAACAGGACATAATACAGAAAAAATCATTGTATCAGGTAGCTTAAAAAGAATTAAAAAAATATCAACATTGACCAACATTATACCATCCTTTAGTTTATGCAAGTTCACTAAGATTGTGCATATTTAAAGAATTGTAAGTACTACTCTAAATCAGTTTACATGATTCAGGACACAATGCAATTGAAATCCCGAATAACTTTTGAAAGACACACAGATTCATAAACAACTTTGGAAACACAAATTTAATTTTTGTCATGTTAAAACGTAAATTAGCATATATTATTATTTATTCTAGAAAATACACACACACACACACACATATATATATATATATATATATATAACACAGAAGTAGATAAGAAATGAATAAAGAAAAGTGCAGAAATGCCAGCAACATGGACTGAAAGCGAAAAGGAGAACCGTGCCTTTGTCCCTTTAAAGCAAATCCAGAGAAGCCAGAGAAGTAAATGCTGCTGTTGCAACTAGGAAACCCTCGGAAACCCTAAACCCTAAATCTGAGGTGTAGTGTTGAGAGTTGCGTTGTGAGCACGACGACGACGACGTTGTTTCCCCTCCTCCTCCCATCGCCCATTGTCAAGCTCCGATTCTGAATTGTGGGTTTGCTTTCTCTCGACGCCGGCCACAATGTTGGACATCCTGCTGTTCCGAGAGGAGCGCGGCAACGACCCGGAGCGCATCCGGGAGTCGCAGCGACGCCGGTTCGCGAGCGTGGAGCTCGTGGACGAGGTGATCAAGCTCGACAAGGAATGGCGCCAGCGTCAGTTCGAGGTGGAGAACATGCGCAAGGAAGTGAACAAGGTGCAGGATGGGATTAAGAAAAAGAAGATCGCCAAGGAAGATCCGGCGGATCTCCTCGCGGAGAAGACCCGTCTCGAGGAGGCGAAAGTTGCCAAGGAGAAGGAAGCTGTGGAATGCAAGGCCGCCATGGAGGCTAAGCTGCGCTTGGTTGGCAACTTGGTGCACGACTCCGTGCCTGTGGATAACAATGAGGTAGGCGTCGTGGAGTTTTTGGGTCGATTTTGGTTTCTATGGACGGAGTTCTTGGTTGATTTTTGAGAGAGCAGGAGCCTTTATCTGTTAGGATGGATTCTAGCGTTTAATTCAGTATCCTTACTCAAACAATGGCTGTTTACAATTTCCAGTGTGGGTTTTGTGGAACAGGACAATAACCAGGTCGTTCGGAAATGGGGAACTCTTAGAGAAGAAGCCGGCCTTTTTAACCATGTGGATCTCGTGAACAAATTGGGAATTGTTGAGCTTGAAGCAGGTATTAAGAATCTGCCGAACTTTGTTGGTGACCGAGGCATCTATATCGCTTTCCGTATCAATTCCTCGAATTCCCTTATCGAAAATGCCGCTATTTTAGGTGTGTGTTGCGAGTTTTTTCTTTCACATGAAGATAAGATTTTAGGAATATAAATGCTCTACGTCGCTTTTCAAATTCCTGCAGGTACTGATGTTGCTGGAGGACGAGGCTACTTTTTGAAACAATACGGGGTGATGTTGAACCAAGCTCTCATCAATTTTGGCCTCTCCTTCTTGATCAAGCGAGGATATACACTCTTGCAGACCCCTTTCTTCATGCGACAGGAGGTGATGGCAGAGTGTGCTCAATTAGCGCAGTTTGACGAGGAGCTCTACAAGGTTAGCACCATCTTTATCTTCCATTCGCATTCCTTTGAGTATGATAATTTCTAAGTTTGTTGAAAGACGAGAGAGGATCAATGTATTAGAAGAGCATATTCAGCTTCGTGGATTATTGATTCGCATGACACTGGTCTGCTACAGGTGACTGGGGAAGGTGATGATAAATACCTCATCGCTACTGCCGAGCAACCTTTGTGCGCATTGCATCGTGGCAGTTGGATGGACCCAAAGCAATTACCCATCAAGTAACAACTCTCCCTTTTAAATGCGTTGTTTTTAGTGACGTGTGACTGAAATGTGTAGCTGATACCATAATTAGAATTAATTCAAGTCGTGCCGCAGTCTTGGTTTTGTGTTCCAGTTGCTGCTCGAAACTATGTAGCAGTTTGCTTTCCATTCAAGTGAAATCGCCGAAAGTAACAGCTCCACAGATGTCATATTATTCAATACGCACAAATATTTGTGTTGATCGTTGAGTTTAACAATTGGTGATTTGACTGCCATGTGTTGAAGATATTCTCCTCCGCATGGATTATCATTGATCTTCTGTGGTTGCGTGTAGGTATGCTGGGTATTCGACCTGTTTCCGAAAGGAGGCGGGTTCTCACGGAAGAGATACACTTGGAATATTTCGAGTACATCAGTTTGAGAAGGTGGAGCAGTTTTGTATTACCAGCCCTAATGACGACGAATCTTGGAAGATGCACGAAGAAATGTTGAAGAATTCAGAAGACTTCTACCAACAGGTACCGAATTATATTACTCTCACTTGGCGATGATGATTATGATAATGACGAATTTAGCAGAAATCGCTTGCGAAGAACAATCTGGTTATAACAACGTTCTTCAAATTTCATCTTTTCGTTCACACTTTATTTCACTTGTCGGTGGTCAGGATTGTCGACATTTTCTTAAATTACCCGGTATTTAGGTGCATTGATCTTATCTTTGTTTTCTTGTCACTTGCCAGCTCTTTGTTTCTCCGCTTTACATGAAAAGTTTGCTCGTGTACTATTAGACCATCTTTTGTGACCATGTTATGACTCATCAGGTTGTATGATGTTTTGCAGTTGGGTCTTCCTTATCGAGTGGTATCCATCGTCTCTGGAGCACTTAACGATAGTGCTGCTAAGAAATACGATTTGGAGGCATGGTTTCCAGCTTCCAAGACGTTTCGTGAGCTTGTGTCGTGCTCAAATTGTACAGATTTCCAATCAAGGAATCTCGAAATTCGCTACGGCCAAAAGAAAGTGAGTTCTATTTTCCTTTCAGTCACTTAAGTTATTATTCATGATATTTGGAATCTTGTGGAAATTGGTGGAATTGCATTCTACAGCCGATGGTAAATTTTATCAACAACTCCTTTCGATGTGTATTTGCTTGATGCTGACTGGCGCACAAGTGCTAATGGTTGGTATGTGTAGTACTTCTCAATGCTATGAAATAACCCTCTTATTATGTACAACGCAGATGAATGATCAAGTCAAGAACTATTGTCATCTGCTTAACTCCACTCTCACTGCAACTGAAAGAACACTGTGCTGCATTCTTGAGAACTACCAAACACCAGAAGGTTTGAGGGTGCCTGAGGTGTTGCAACCATTCATGCTCGGCACCGATTTCCTTCCCTTCACCCAGGAAGCTCCTAAGAAAGATGTTAAAAAGGACACCAAGAAAGACAGCAAAACAAAGAATCCCCAGGCTAAGGTACATCACTTTCTCATATAGGAGACTATTTTCTTTTTGTTTGGTGTCTATAGTATGCGATTGATAGCATCTACAAGGTTCTACATGGTTTTGGTTTGGTGTCCTACCTCAATACGATCGTAGATGAAGGATCTCATTGGCGAGATGTCCTGTTTCTTAAGAGTGGACCCCTAAAAAATTGGTATATGTAACTACTTCTTGGTTTCAAATGTTTCAAGTTTTTCGGCCACGCTCGCTTAGTATTTGGTATGGTATTTGAACAGGCTCCAGCTGCGGCAGCTCAAGAAAATAAAGTCAGCGCTGACATTGCCCCGGGTACACCTGAAATTCTCACCAATTGAAACCTTAGATTGAGTACGATACAGATCTAGTTGTCTAAATTGTACTCTTCCAGCACATGTAGTGGCGATTCTAGCCTGATTACGTAGTAGCTGTTTTAAGCTATAGGACGATTGACATTTAAGGATTCATTTCAATTTCCTCTGGTTCTTTACCATGATTTTGAAGCACGTTAGGCTTGGTTTAGCTCGTGTGTGTCAAATCTGTCGCGGCTGATTTCCTTTTGCTTTTCTTGTCTTGTTTATGCTTCTTCACGTCCAGTCTGAAATCTTGGGTCGTTTCCAGCGCTTCAGTTTTTTTATTTAGAGGCTGAAATGTTTTTGAATTTTTCGAATGGTCCAGTACAAATTCTAGACTCTTACTTCAATGATTTCTGTTTTTTCTGTTTTTTTTCTTTTTTTTTCGTTTCCTACAGGAGTACTAGCTCAGTCTCTAGATGAATTGGGGTACATATATCTTTTCTTTTCTTTTTAAAATTTCAAGGGCACACTTCATCGAGTGTAGAGTCTTTCTCTGCACTCACACAGGCCACGGGTCGCTGTCATGGGTCATTTCAGGTGGACTTGAACTGTCCAGTCGGCTTGGTTTGGGCACAAGGTGGCTTCACGAGGGCGTCAGACGGCATTTCTCTCGCACTAGACACCTACCATCTTTTCGCACTGCTGCTCTTTCTTACATGGCAGCTAGATCCATTTCTTATCTTTTGTAGCTCGGAATTCGGGTTGGTAGGTCATTGCTTGTTGCACCATAAACCCCTCGGTTCTTGAGCAAGATTTCGTACTCCTTCATGCTTCTATTGGAGATCTCCTTCGTCTCTGAAACTCACGTATGTCGAATTGAATGTGTCAATGATCTGTGCGAAACTGAACAAGCTTGCTTCACTACATCTGACGTGCCTAATCCTTTTTTTTTTTTTTTTTTTTTTTTTTTTTTCACTTGGTACTTAGCCGGATACTGTCGGTTATGATAGAACTTTTTCATGAGCGACAGTTGTTTGGTCAACCAGGTGACAAGCCTCGGAACGGTAAATAGTGAAACCAGGGAATGAGGTAGTTGTGTAGTTTTAAATCCTCAATGTGCCCACCGCGTTTATCTTTTCTGCGCCTTTCTATTTGTGCGTCCTCTAGTCTCTTCAGAAGGTCCTGGCTCCCTCCTCTCCTTGCCACACACATCGTGAAGTACACAAAAAATTGGTGTAATTGATGTTGAAATGTCGTGGATTCTAGTTTCACAAATCAGTGGTCACTTGGAATCATATTTGAGTACTGTTGTCTGAAGAGGTTTGTAGAGTTTGTATCAGAAAGATCACTGGACAGAAAAATGTACCATATCATCAGTTATTATGTATACATTCACTTCATCTGATGTTTAAACGCGGAAATAAAGTTTATATTGCGCATGCACGGTAATTATATACTATATAGGCTTCATTTCGATTGTGAAACCAAATATATATGTATACAAGTATTGTGATGCAATGTTAATTTTTACTTTGTGGGCAATGGACTGAAGGCCACAATGTACCGGGTAACCCCGCGTCTTGGACGATTGGTGCATTTTATCATTAATTTGTGATTATTCGCTTACTTGTAAGACTACACGTACAATGTCAAGTTGAACACCTCAGTATCACATGTCTTTCCTTGGGATTATCCGTTTTTGAAATCAGTTATTGCTCGTATAATTTACAAAATAGATAGGTTCTTTTGACAATGTCATTGTGAGTAATTATATAACTCTTCATTGTTAATGATGTAGTATTGATTCACATATCACTTCGAAATTTATATTTTACCTCTACTGCTCCGAAGAAAATTTCTGCACCTATCCCTTCCCTTCACATCTTAATAATTGAAGGACTCTAATATTCAGCGAGGTTGTTCGTGTTACATACAAAACTCTAGGGCACAGGGCATGCTCTCAACCAATCAATCAATCAATCGCCAATATATATATATATATATATATATATATGTGAATGAATGGTGCGCCCCGAATGCGACCCTATACAACTATAAACCCACAGGAAAACTATCCTTCAGCAACTCCCAACGTTTTGAGATTTCTCAAGAGACGGGAATTGAAGTCACCAGTTTCCGTTCTGGAAGGAGAATGAATCTATACCGAACAAAAACTCCGCTGACATCTCAACTCAGACCTTGTGGTCAATCACAGCGCCTGTGAAAGTACTGGTAACAATATCTAAGCTGAACTGAACTTGGTTTGAAACAAGCTGGGTCTTCTCAATTTCAAGTACACAAACCATATTGATCAGGAAGCTAATAAACTCTGCCCCACCCTCAAAGCTCCAGCAGCCACACAATGCCATGCTCGCTGCTTTGAATCGTTGGAAAGTTTGCGGGTGTGGGAGGTTTAGTGACCATGCAGATAGGAAAGATAACTTGGCGGAAAGCCTACAAATTGCGCTTCAATTCTAACCTTGGAGACTGTCCTCGTATGCTGTCCATTCCGCCTTGCGATACTCCTTCGCAGCAGCAGCAGGGTCGGCAGCCTTGATGATGCCTCGTCCAACGATGATGATGTCGCTGTCTCTTTCCCCGATGACGGAGCTGGGAGTGTTATAATGTTGGCCGAGGGCATCTCCACCCGCGCTCATCTGAACGACAGGAGTCATATGGACCAACGCTGGGCTGATGGGTCCGCCCACCCACGCCGCAGGGTTGGTTGAGATGAACCCTATGACGAAGTCGGGAGTGTCTGCGGCGATTTCAGCGGCCGCTCGGGTGTAATCACCCTTGGCCAGAGTGTCCTTCGAGCTCATCTCCGCGAGGAGCAGTAGTCCCCGCCCCTTCGGAAGGCCCTTCAGCTTTAAACCATCCACAATTCCTGGCCCTGGCACAACATGTGCATTTGTAATGTCCGCCCAATCGACTATCTTGTAAATGCCTCCCTCATATTGCATAGTCACCGTGTTGCCTACATCAGCAAACTTTCGGTCCTCGAAAATCAGAGAGTCGTGCTTGTCGGCGATTTCACGAAGCTAGCTGCCAAAGTCCGGGTGAAGTCTGGCAAGATGTCGACGTGGGTTTTCAATGCACAAATCTCTGGTCCAACGGCGTCAGCTAGTGCTAGAAGCTCACAGGCAGTGTTCACATCAGCCGCAACCGACAAATTGCTCTGCTTCCTCTCCATCAACTCGAACAGCTTCTTCCCGGCAGAGTTTTGGACTCTCTCCATACGGCAACCGTCTCAATTTCGCAGGGGTTGGCGCGAGGGAGGGGAGGCTCACAGTGGTCTGATTCTCCGCCAAGAATTTGCTCAACGACGCCACTTGTTCCGTCAATTTCCCATGGCGCACAAGCACGTCTACAATCCGCGTCAGCTTCAGCGCTGCGTGTAATCTCAGCCCATGTTTCTGCAGCGTCTGGGGATCTCCCTGCTCCCGATCAATCAACACAACCACATCTTGGACCTTCAACCCCGCGGCCAGCAACGACTCCACGGTCTCCAACACGGACGCCCCGCTGGTAACCAAATCCTCAATAATCAAGCACTTCTGCCCGGTCACGAAGAATCCCTCGATGGCCTTCTTCGTGCCGTAAGCCTTCACCTCCTTGCATCGCATCACCATGGGCACGTCATGCTTCAGCGAGATCGCAGTGGCAATTGGCAGGGCCGTGTAAGGCACGCCGCAGATCACATCTTGCTCCACACCGGAGACGGTAGCCCACACGGATTGGGCGACTTGCTGCAGCAGCGCCGGGTACGAGACGATCACTCGCAGGTCGATGTAAATGGGCGACGTGATCCCACTCTTGAGCTTGAACTCTCCGAACTTCACCGCCTCGACATTGAACAAAGCTAGCACCAAGCTGTCCACCGCCGCTTCTTCCATGGCCAATCCCGCAACGCAATCCCCAGCCAGCACTGCGCAAGGAAAACAACCCACACACCACTCCTCGCAATCTCACTCACAACGCTACATCGTTGCCTTCGAGGCTTGCAAAATCGTCGTATCGCTAAGCCCTAAATCCTAATCCTAAAACTCAATGGAGAAAAATTCCAGTGATTGGGTTCGTGGGGAATGTGGTGTAGAATGGAATGTGATATTTGTTGAGGGGGGGGGGGAGGTTGAGGTTTTGGGTTATGCTTCCTTATCTTGATAAACTTCCAACTTTGTATTGCAAATTGGAACTTTCTTTTGTTTCTTTTTTTAAAACATTAAAGTGAAATGGAGTTTTGGAAATGGTGTAGACGATGAATGGAAGAGTGGGAGGAAGGAAGTGCAAATATCACATACGTGGAAGAATTGCAACAACATATATATATATATATATAAAAACTTAATTCTTTTATTGCATGGAAATATACAATATGAAATGCTAAGTTTGGAAGAGAAAGAGAAAAAAAGTTCTTTGTGTTGCACAAAAGCCTTAAGTTCTTTGAAGTAGTCATGATCAAATTTATGGCTCTTGAAAAAGCTTTAGATATCTGCTTCCATCTTCTTCTTACTTATCATTTTGTTGACGTATTTGTTTCTGTCAAATCATACAAGAATGAGTTTCTCATTTGTTGCTTATCTGATATAATTAAATTATGCATATCTTATAAAACTACAAGTGATATGTATTTTATTCATTTTTTGATGTAATCTCAAGTGATTGAATAAGTAATTTGTAATAGATCATAAAAGTAAAAATTTAACATTTTTTCAACATTTGTTATCAATCACTATCATAGAATTTTAAACAAAAAAAGTTGCTAAAAGAATATTAATGAGTGATTTATAAATCTCACATGAAAATATTGCATGTAAAAGTATTACATGCACAAGAGCAATTCGTCTTCATAGGAAAATGATGCCTATATTTTCATTGCATTTTTAATGGTTGTAAAATACTTCTAATCTAATCCTTTCAATGCATAAAATGCATTCTGAAACATACAGTGAAAAAATAACGTTGAAAACTTGTACCTAAGAGTTTCTGGCATTGAATTTTAGATATTATTCGAAATCTCACTTCTTCAATAAAATTCTGCAAAGAGATAAATACAAGTTATTTTCCTGGATAGAAAAAAAAATCTACTTAATAAAAAAACGTATTTATTCAACAATCCAAGAAATGTTTTTTATAAAAAAATATAAAATACAAAGATATCTCATTGAATTGTTATTGTTTTGGTATTTTTTATAATTAATATATAATTCAAAACTTTAATCATGGTGCACAATACAATTGTTCTTCATTTCTTCATTTTTTAAACATTTTAAAAATTCTATTTGTATACATGTTCCTCACATCATGCATATACTTTTATTTAACAAAACCTATGTATAAAATAATTTAATATCAATATTTGTGATACAATACATCAATGTTTTTAAATATTTTGGATATTTGAACATTTTTTTTGATTTTCATAACCATTCTTATAGATACAAATTCTATTTGAGCATATGTATACTAAGTTCTTTTGTTGCTATTCAATTGTCTATATGTTATACTAAGTATTGTCTATTGTAATGTAATTAAACACAAATTCTATGTGTTAGTATTATTTTACATGAGAATAGCAACAAAAAAAACTTAGTATAACATATAGACAATTAAATGAATGTTTTTGGTTTTTAAGAATAAATTTTTGGAATGTCTCTCATTCTATTGGGAACAAGGGCAAAATGTGACCATCACCATACCACATAGTAACTTCAACCACATATGACATTTGAAGCTCAATTTTACTTGTCAAAACACAAACGTTTGTGTTTTAAAATTTGAAATTAAAATTGAAATTGTTACAATTTCAACATTTAATGCTTTTCAAAGGCACGTTGCAACATGTCAATGGTTGGAAGTCCTATTACATCCCTCGCTTTAGCTTTTGAAGGTCATGAACTAAGAAGAAACAATTTAGTGCCAAAAAGATGAAGAAAAAGATTGGACTTCATCTTTTTGGCACTAAATTGTTTGATGTAGTGGATTGTTGAGACTAATTATCATCTAGATGAACAAACTCTTCATGGTTTTTATTCTATTCTATTTCAACGTAGAAAGATTCATATCTAAAAAATTATACTGATGTAAATCAATGTCTATGATTAGTTATCTAGCAAAAAACCATTTCAAAACTGAATTTTAGTCCATCAGATATTAAATTTGAAGCAATAACACGTAGCATTTATTTATTCATTCATAAACATTTCTCTATTTTCTTTCTTCATTTCATTGAGCTTGAGAGTTTTAAGAGCCAATCACATAAACCCATAAGTTATTACTTTATTAAGTTTAAAGGATAAAAAGACAAGATGTTTTTATTTCATCTAAACATAACATAGTACGAAAATTTCAATGTGAGAGTAACTTTTATTCTAACATTAGATGAATTTAGACAAAGAAATGCTCCTACTTTTGTGCTTGAATGAATTAGTCAAAGGCACTCAATATTAATTTAAAATCTATAAATTTGAATCTATAAGCATGTCCTCACAATCCATCATAAAAACTCTCATAGTGTTTGCAATTTCTGATAACAACTTTCATTTATCCAAACATACAAAAAATGAAATGCAGACAAAAATAAATAAATAATAAACTAATTCTGGGGACTACCTATATTCTTAAGCATATATTTCCTTGCATAATTTTTTGTCCACCTCCTCTAGCTTAACATCTACTCAATCAAGGTTCTATTTATACAAAATCTTTCATACTTTGGATCAACTTGGCTGACTTCATTTCATTTTTATTCAACTTTTGTACTTTTACTTTTTGATAAATATTTTCTCGGACACAAGAAACCCACATGTAATTTTTTATATCATATTTGAATTGATATCTAAATAGATGAATCTCGGTTATCCAAACAAGAGTTCATCATGTAAAAATAAAATTACATGTCACAACCCAAATTTGCTTGAAATAAAAACCAACATCATTGACTATAATGCTATAAATAGAACTCACAATTAGATCCAACAATGATCCAACACAATCATTATTTACTTGGTCTTATAAAAGTGTCATCTAATAAAAAAATAAACATAAAAAATATTAAAATTTATAAAGTCTCAAATACTTCTTGGTCGCTAATATCCCATCTTGGTCTAAATTATTGGAGCCCAGCATTATTTCACACACACACACACACACACACACAAGGGGATTTCTCATCCACATAATCTGGTCTAATCAATGGGATGGATGAATGGAGAAATTAACAGCGTTCTCCGCTCTTCACTCACTCACCCCGCGAACGAAGAAAACGAACGAACGTTCGCCGGAATAGGCGACGAAAACTGTGAAGATTCCGGCGACCGGAGGTCGGAGCCGACGTGGCAGGAACTCCTGAGAGGCCCGTTTCGTGACTAGACAGTACCTACCCGAGTATCTGTTATCATCCAGATGGATGAATGATAATTGTGGCGTCAAGGGGGGGGGCTTCCGCGGAAGTGAGAGGGACCAGCGGCGGAAGAAATGGTCCGTCTCGGATTTCGATGCTGTTTCCATGAGTCATGGCAACCAGAACACCATCGCCACCACAACCATCGGCACACGAAGAAGAAGAAGAAGAAGAAGAAGAAGCAGTGGAAGAAGATGAATCAGAAGAAACAGAAACCAGGATGATCCTGTCGCCACGGCTTTGAAGCGAATCAGAAGCAACTGGTATCGTGGAATTTGTGCTGTTATGGGAATCACCCCACGAGTGTTTCTCGCGGGTTGGCTCTGTGGGGGGCAGCAGCCTGGTCCAATTCACCAGCCAGGAATCTTTCTCCTCTCTGAGATCGCACTCCGTTCGGAGCCTCGATTCGATCGAGCTGACAGTTATGTGATGTTTCCATGATTTTCAGAGTCGTCACGCAGCTTGACTTGCAGCAACTTATCGTGAATTTAGAAAGGGTAAGACTAGTAAGAGGAGGAGGTCGAGGAGGAAGCGTTTGAAAGGGATTGGAGGTAATTCGTCGTCGCCAGTCTTTGGTGGAAGCTAAGAATTGGACGGGGAGGTGCATCGAGTTCTCAAGGTTCCTTCTACCAAGGTGAGCCTCCGAGAGCACTTCGGGGTTTCGGAAGAAGTTTGCTTGCGGCGGTCGCTAATTGCTCACCTACTCACATCGAGTTGATTAGCAGTTATAAGGCGTCGAGTTTTCGTGTAAATGAAGTATCGTGAGCGATGATGGGGTGCGAGCACGTCACTCATCCTCTTTGCAAGGCAGAGGTGTCTCAATTGTCGGCCATGAGGTGGCAGGTTTCCAGTAATTGTAGATGGTTGAGCTCTGGTTGTGTCTTCCCATCTTTCCTTGTCTGCATACTGTGCTCAAGCAGCAGCAAGTGAGGGCTTTGAATCACTTTTCCCCCACAAATCAAAGCTTCAAAGGACGAGGACATTTCATGTCCCAAGATGCAGAGACGAGGCTACAGTTAGCTTCGCTGTTGCAAAGGCATAAAGGCATCGTGGGCGAGTTAGAGTCAATGGATATATCTCGTAACGTCTCGTTAGACAAATTCATACGATTAAGAATCGTTGGTGGACTTAACCCTGACAAGGTTGCCGCAGAATGCAATTTGTGTCGATTCAGGAACTCCATATGTATGTATAAAGACCTAAGTTCGCTCCCTCTATTTCTTAGTCTATGAGCAGTCTCGGTAGCTGTTTTGGGAGGTTGCAGTTCTGCTTGTGTTTGTGGTCATCCGTAGGCAGTAGTCTCAACACGCCCGCTTCGCCTTACTCCTCTCTGGGTTCCTAAAGCTTTAGTTTCCCTCGGAGATCCCCTAGAGCAGCTTGCTTGTTGAAAGTCATCTCTTACCATAATCTTGAAGTCCTTCAAGATTGTCTCTGGAAACTACGGACGTTTCACTCAGTGATGCTCAGAATTCGACTGTTTTTACGTTCATCACTTGGGAAGGTTGGTACATGAACAAGTTTGCGGGGGAAACTTTGTTGAGATCCTTTTGATGATGAGGTGCCGATTTTTTATTCGAGCTTTGACCATTAGAGGTTGATCTCTCTGCTAGATTCTCTTCATCTCTCGCAGGATGCACGTAATCTTTTAATCTTGGTTGTCTTGTGTCTTGGTAACAAATGTAGTCGCATCTTTTGGCAGTTTGCAATATCTTTGCTTTTGGGTTGATGTTGATTTTCACTTGTGTTCACTTCACAATGCAGGCGATTCCTCACCTGGTAGCTTGTTGTAGGTCGATGCAGTGATGGAGCTACAGTATTAGTTGTGTGCACCAAGATTGAAGCTTTGAAACGCTGCTGTATATGCCGTCGTTCGTGGAAGCACTCATCGCATACTCCAGGATTTTCTCTACTGGAAAGAGGAAAGCTGTTGACTTAATGGCCACATGCATCGGCTGGTGGCTCACTAGCATTTAATGAGTCCAACGTCGTCAAGGTGTCCACCAAGTCAGAAAGCATCATCGAACGGCGGCAAAACTGTGTGTTTATCATAGCTTCACACAATGGGAGGATGCTGCCAAAAGCAGGTTCGCCAGGTCGTGCAGTCTTCGAAACACTCTGTTGTGATGCCGTCTCGGGTGTCCCCGCCAGTATGCGTCCAAGTAAACAAAGACGCAGATGAAGTAAAAGTAAAACTAGTTGGAGATATCACTTGTCCATACACACAACGCGTACGCATTGCTCTTCTGGAGAAGGTACAGAAGCATGATATGAAGCTTGTACGCGTCCTTGAAGAACTTTGAAACATGCTTCAGCTGGGTGGTAACAAAAATTCGTTTGTGCTAGAGACAGAATAGGTTAATTTGTCACCACGCGACGTGGTTTGGTTCGGCAGTTGACCATTTCGTATTAGAACCTTCGGTGGTTATTTGGGATGTTCATTGCAGTTCTATGGATGAAGTAACAGTATTGACATTATGATTGATATCGACGCAGAGTGTGCCTGCGGAAACCTCCTTGGTGATGCCAGAAGATCTCATGGGCGGCAAAGGAGATAATCTCGCTGCTGAGAGTCCGGATGGAAAGTTCCCTGTCTTCCAGCACGGACCCCACAAAATCACCGGCTCGGTTGACTCGATCTTGACCTATATCGAAGAAAACTTCGAGAATCCACTACTTCCAAGTGGACTAGAGAAAGATGTCGCACAGTGGGTTTCCTATATCCGAGACATATTCAGTAATGTTATTGAGGACGCGTTGCACAACGGGGACCCCTACGCACAGGACTCCTTGGAAGCAAGGTTGAATGAATCCCTGGCGTGTTTAGACGATGGGCTGGAGTTGCACCACAAAGAGGGCAAACATTTCCTGGGCTCCAACTTCACCCTCGTGGATGTTTACCTCATACCCTTTCTTTCCTTGATGGATCTTGTCACATACATCCGAGGCTTCGAGATAAACTCTTCTTTCACGAGGTTGTCCGCATACAAATCCGCCATGTGCACTTTCAAATGCTACAAGCCTGTGCAAATGGGTACCGATTTGACGAAAACCATACTTGTTCAGTCCTCCATAGACAAACCCTCCCAGCCGATGGTCGGTTTGGCTCTTCTGCAACACAAGAGCATAATCTGGCATTTGAAGGCCTTTGTGAAGCTGGTTAAGGAGTTTGATGGGATCAACAGGAGCCCCTCAATGGATTCGATGCAAAGAACTGTTTTCGTGACGCGATTGAAGAAGCTTCCCAAAGTGTATGGTCGTCTGGTGGAGCTATTGCTAGAGCATGCTCAGATGGAGGAAAGAGTTATTTTCCCAGCGCTTGAAACGGCAGACCAAGGTGCATGATCAACGAAGACTCTTGGTTGTGTTAAGCTCTCCGTAGTTTTTTACATATGGTTTGTCCACGTTTTAGCCGAGCTTAACTATTCTGCACATTTTTTTCATTCAGCAAAACTAAGCCAATTGCATACTTGTTTCCGCTCTTGTGCGCGTGACCTCAGAGAAGTGACTGTTTGAGTTGGAAGGGTCTTTGTTTGCTTTGATAAAGAGGTGAAAAACTGATAGTTGATTTCGGATTCATGTGCTTGACTTGCTTCACAAAACTTAAAACCTTCAATCTTGTTATTGATGTGCCAGCGCTGACTGAGTCTGCATTAAAGGATCATGCTCGAGACTTACCAGTGATGAATGGAATTCGGGAGGATATTAAAGGCATTATGAGCTTGAGACAGGGCAACTTTGATCATAGGGAAGCACTAACTGCTCTTGCTGGCCGTGTGGAAGCGTTTGAGGTTAGTTTGAGTCAAACAATTACCACCTTCATACCCTTACTACAAGATTCGCAGGTTGGGTAGCTGTCACTATTCTGATGTTCAGCCAATAGAGTACTGAAAGTTGATAAACATCAAAACTGGTCCAAGCTTGTCACGCTGCGTTCGAGCGAAATGCGCATTGAATTCATGCTCTTGCTTGACAACCTAATCAACTCACAACCTCTTTTTTCCAATTTAAAGTACGCTCTGAAATAACAACTGTGATTTACAGGTTCACGTGAAGGAGCACTTCCAGGAAGAAGAGAAGGAGCAACTCCCACTGCTGGAGGCGGCTGGGTTCGGGACCAGCAAGCAACAGCCGATGGTAGCGCAGGCTTTCTTAGTTATGGAGGCTTCGCATTCTAGATTGTTGCCCTACTTGCTTGAAGGGCTAAAGCCTCACGAAGTTCATCAATATCTGGGTATCATGAAGTTGTCAACCGCAGATAATGCAGAAAAGAACTCTATGCTACGGCGAATAGCGCATGTTTTGAACAACGAGGAGTTCGAGTACGTTAGGAAGGTGGCGATCGACAGAATTCCATCGCTTGGTGGACTGCCGCTCACGTCGGTCCAAGGTCGACCTGGCATGGCTCGTGGCTAGCTTACAAGTCCTCTCCGGATGTTTGTATAATTATCGCCGTGCATCGAACTACAGAGCTTTACACCAACCCTCTTTCCTATATTGCTCTTCTCATCTCTTATTCTTTACCTGGAACCGAAACGGGTACATGATTAGCTCCGTATGTGGGGTCGCGTCAACGAGACTTATGTGGCTAAAACCACATCTCCTCCTTCTAGTATCTAACTAGGAAGTCTGGGCTGTAGCAGTTTCTCGTGTGGAATCTGAGGAAGATGGTGCTGCCGAACGGGTCGTTGTTCCATGGTGAGACAAGCTGTTAAACTGAGACATCCCAACGCAGGTTGTAAGAGCGCCGCAGCTATCTCCACCAAGCGATGCTGATGGGTGCACACTACACTGGATTTCTCAACTTCACAACTCTGACAAAGACGCGATGGAAGGTGGGAGACTCGTTGTTCTCCTGGACGAGCTGGGGCGTATTCTTAAGCTCTGTAGAATAGTGCATGCATCAGGGATGCGCTTAAACCTCTACCATGATTTTGTGAAAGAACCCTCTCGTACGCTTCGCTTATCTTATAGCTCGGACACGGTTTGCGTTGTGAACATAACTGCAAGCACGTCGTTCACGCCAGGTGCTTATGTTTGTAGCTGTATTTCTACTAAGTGTGCCCACTTCCATGTGCGGATCTACGTCATTGTTGAATTCGAGAATGGTTGTTTTGACATCGCGTTGTGGAGGCATCATCACAGACGTAAAAACTGTTCATGATCTTACAAACGAAAGTTGAAGTTGTGAAAAATGTGGAGCTTTTTAATGCTGTTATGATTCTGTGATGATTCCATGCTATCACAAGAAAAAGTTGTGCACACCTTCAAACTCTGAAGCTCGAATCAGCCAATGGTACATGATAATAATCTTCACAGAGTCCACAGCCTTGGCACAACAGTGAATTGAATTAGTACCATAGTTCTGGAATAATGGAGAAGATTACTGACTCATTGAATCGCGAGTCCCCACGTCCAGCTTCAGCTAGGGATTGGAAGTTGGACTGGAGGTGAAGCCAAATCCTCTAAACAACTAATTGTATTCAAGGGTGAATCCATTTCAGAACATAGGTCATCCCAAATGAAGACTCACTAACACTAAACTATAAATCAGGATGCCGCAATACCGTCAACATAATCAGGATTATGTTGACCTGTTCCTATCAAATTCGTACAGGCTAATCAGTTTTGTGAATCACGGCTCAAAGTTTGACCGGTGCAGCACCGCTTGCTAGAATGCTCTCCTCTTCCAAGAAACTTGGTTTCACCTTCCAACTGTGAAATTTGTGAATCTTGTTTGTGAAATCGAGAGTCCAAGTGCTGAATTTGAACAAGTGATTGTTATTGGTGTTCATTTTGTTGGCATTGACACGTAAACAAAATCAATATTGCAGGTGTATTGTATGAGACTAGTGCTGGTGATCTACTTTCTGTTACAATTTGTTGCTGGCTTGTCAACATAGAAATTTCAGATTCCAACTGCTGAACCACATCCTCAGCAGACCACTTTCTAATCCAAGCGGGTTTAAAACAACTGTCTATTTTCTGAAGAAGTAAGCAATGCAATCTTCATCAACTACTCCAACAACGTTGCTACTTGCACCACATAGCTTGTTGGGCATGGGTGCAAAAGAGAAGGCATGGAGCCTTCAGCTTGTTGCATCCTTGGAATCACTACATGATGATAGTTGTTAAAGTAGCTGCATGTATCACTTTGTCAAGAGGCTCAGAAGCACATCCAACTACAATGATCTCATTGAACAAAACCAAATTCAATCCACATGTGGATGATACCAATTGTATCCTTAATATCACAACTTAAAATATGGACTTGATTTTGGATGTTTTAACACCTAAGACAGGTTGTCGCATCCCAATGTTGTGTTTTTAGAGCACTTTGTGAGTAGAGGAATGAAAAATATGTTAAGATTTAAAAAAAACAATAAAATTTGAAATTATATGTAAATAAAATATATTATTTCTTTTAAAGTGTATTTTTTTAAATAACTGAATAAAAGTTTAAATCCTTAATTTAATATTTTATTATTAGTTTGTTATATGATATCTATTATTTTTTGTATATAGAATTCATAATAGAATATTTTTTTATTCTTTGATGAAAAAATAAGGTTGTAAAATATATATTTTTATTCTTTATTTTTATTCTTTTATTGAATTATTTGTTGTATATGCAAATCCCATTGCATAATATGCATGAAATTGGTATCAAGAAGGATAGGATACTATATGCTTTTACTTTGTTCTTAAGATATTGCCAATATCATTATTAATATTTCTACTATCTATTGATTGGTATCAACAATATTTATTCTAATTAGATCCATTTCAATGGTTTATTTATTACCCATTTTGTTGTCCATCCATCATATATATATATATATATATATTAATATGAATAAATAAATAAATAAATAAATAATTTTTTTATGATTGATATGAGGCAAGAATTGTGCTAGTCCATGTCAATAGTCATAATGACCTTTAGAAAAACTGATATTAGAAATGCACTAAAAGATTTTGGCATATTTATTCCTTATAAGGAAAAAAAATTGGTTTTTTACGCTTAATTAGTCTCTATTAAAAACTCTTGCATCTATCACATATCTATAGTTTTTTATAAAATAATAGTGACTCTATTATCCAACATATTTATTGTTGTCTATATAAATACACTATTTCCATCATCTATATTTCGAAATTGTATCTCATGTGGTGAAGTGGTCTTCAATGTCATTATAGGAGGCAGTCAAAGTAGAGCCTTAGCATTTTCTCTCTTATAAGCATCTACTATCATTATATAACTATATTAATCTTCATTGGTAATTGTCACGGACACAAAATACAGACTTGAAATCTAACAAGAAGTTCAAGAAGAAGTGGCAGAACTAGATTAAACAGATGAGTACAAGAACAACACCAGAAAGGTGAGCTAGAACTCCAAGAGATGTGTTGTCAAGACTGAAGAACTCTTTAGCCTCGATCCCTATATATATTCCTACTTAGGAAGCTTCTCGAGCTACTTCTATTAACTAAGAAGCTTCTAGAAGGTTTCAGAGGCTTCCTTTCTAGAAGGTTCTAGAAACTTCTCGAGCTACTTCTATTAACTAGGAAGCTTCTAGAAAGTTCCAGGGGATTCCTTTCTAGAAGCTTCTAGAAACTTCTCTTCTAGAAGGTTCCAGAGACTTCCTTTCTAGAAGCTTCTAGAAACTTCTCTAAAAGGTTCCAGAGGCTTCTCTTCTAGAAGGTTCCAGAGGCTTGTTTTCTAGAAGGTTCTAGAAACTTCTCTCTAGAAAGTTCTAAGGAATATGTCCCTAACATCACCCCCTCCTTTGGCTTCGAGGTCTCTGAGAAGCAATGTTGTTGATCAGTACCAACGCAAGAAAATGAAGATCTGTCGCATAACTTATGCTATGAACTCCAACTGTTGTTCACGAGGCAAGTGGTTCATCGACCCTTGAAGCCAACGGTAGTGGCCCACGCCTTCGACTTCTGACCAAGCATGAACTTCCGTGTCCTCATTGTGAAATTGTCCTGCAAACATGCCTTCTGGTTGACCATCGTAAGCAGGCTCGATCTCAAATACGATCACTAGTGATCGGTTACTTGGTATCCTCCGTCGTCATCGTGGTACATGTAGTTCTTCATCTCGGAGTCGCCTTCGTGAGCTACTCAGTTGCGATACTCTGACTGGCATAGTATCTATCTCTTGGCTATCCATATCAAAAGACCAAACTACGATCTATCTTGGAGAAAATAACTACATCAACTATGAATTTTGCTGGTGCTTTCCCCTTTTCTTATATTGTTGTGAGAACAAGCTTCAGAAAGAAGCTATCATCGAATTGATTTAGGTTTATCGGGATGTCGTTGATGAAACTCCTGTACCTTTTGTGGCATATTTGCAAGATTTTCAGCTGGCTCCCACGTTGTCGTATTACGTGCTTTCCTGCTCGAGAACGCGCCGGGCGTCTGGCTGTAGAAGGTAGTATGGAGATTCACCGATAGTCAAGCAGTCTATCAGTTTTTGACTGCTGGAATATAAACGACTGCAACAATGTACCGTAAATCTATACGGGTGCTCTTCGACTGCTTGTCGGAGTCCTTTTTGCCCCAGCCGGTAGGTCTCTAGACGTTACAGAGAACCCCGTACAACCCAAACTGTTAACCTTCAATACTCCTTTGTACTTACGATCTTGTATCCACTGACTGTCTTGTTAGATTAACCCAATAAATTTCATTCACTCCGCATACTCAATCCTATAGACACCCTTTTAATCCTTCAATCACAGACGTAACTCGATTTCACAAAACAGTCAAGAGTATTCAAACCCACTTCATTTAAAAATCCCGATTCACCATTACAACACTGACTTCAGCAGCGATTGCCTCAGTCTTCCCCAAAACTCTACGAAGAAGAAAAATCCAAATCCTATGTCTTTCCTTCCCCGACCCGAAGCATGAAGCTCCTCTCTCTAATTCCCTTGATCTTCAAAAACCTCCCATTCCCCCAAAATAAAAATCCACACCACTCCAAAACTATATCCCCCCTAACCTTATCCTCTGAATTTCTTCAATCTTCCGTCTTAGATCCGGAATTGGCTCCCACCTCAAGCTTTCTCCTCCGTTTTTACCTTTAAGAAATCCATTTACCGAAAACAACGTTCCCTGAGACGGCACAGAGAACAGGACAGCCTGAAACAGAATCGAACCCCGTAATCGGGACCACATTGAGTCGCCCGACCAATTCAGGTCCTATATTGGGAAAGATGCCCGTAGTAACCTGGATGTTCCCATAATTAGACTGCATTGGGTTGCCCCACCAATACAGGTCTCATATTGGGTAAGAGGACCCGGATTGGATTCTCGAAATTGGATCCAATTGGCTCCTCGAACCCGTCGTGTGAATTGGTCCTTCTCTTCCTGCTGACTCCCGTTATTGGAATCGAACGGGGCATTCCAGTATGCCCCGGCTGACTGTAACGGAGTCACTGAACCTGACCACTCAGTATTTGTACTGGAGTTGGTCGATGCTCCCAATATTCGAGATAGCTGATTATTAATAAAATTCCCCTTTCTTTTTATTTTCACTGTATACTCGTGTTACAACACGACATCCACCCCCTCTGAACCTGTGCATCCTCCGGTATGCACCAATTTACCCAATTGCTGTTTGATTCAGAATATATCCCCTACGTCTTTGTCCAGTTCGTCTTCGTCACCTTCATTATCCATATCACTTTCATCTTCTTGCTGCGGAATCTCTGTACCTTCATTAAGGTCTTCCATATTCATCTCTGCGTGTCTTCGTTTAAATATTTTTACTCTCTTCCCAGCAATTGGTATTTTCAATTTTGTACCATCTAACTCCCGTAATGAGTAAGTCGCATTATCATGAACAGTTGTTACAACATATGGTCCAAACCAACGTTTTGAAAATTTCCGCAAAGTACTATGTTGATTATCCAGACTATTGTCATAAACAAGTACCCAGTCACCTTCCTCGATTGCTTTTGGTCTCAATCGATGTTGCTTATCAAATCGCGCCTTGTTTTGTAACCTTGCTCTTTTTAACCTTTCCAATGCTATCTGGACATCTTCCGTTCTTTGCTCCAATTGTCGAATCCTAATAGCCAGAAGTTCTTCTCTTGTCAATCCATCT